AGCACTACAGAAGTAATAGGATAGTAATAGGATAACTCAAGAATTAAGACATGTCTGATGTTTTGCTTTATGCTCATTAGCACAGCAGACAAACACAGAGAAAAAGAAAACCACATTACTGTGTGTAAGCACAAGTTTAACGCAACTCCTAGTTGGATGAAGCATCAGCAAGGTTTCGGTACAGCACAGCATTCACGTGGAACAGTTAAGTACTGTAACTGGCGTTACCTTGCAGAGGTGTCAGATTTATATTAGCAGCAGAGAGGGTTATTCAAAGTTATTCAAAATATGTAACTATAAATAAATAATAGTCAAAGTTTTGAGGTGGACAAGATAGAGTAGGATGCACCAAGAAACCTTTTTAAAAAAAAAAGCCAACTGCTGAGAGATCAAGTATCCCAGATACAGTGCATCAGTTTGATACAGTTCAACTACTTCTCAACTTTTCAATTTTTCCCTGCTTCACTGATAAAAAGAAGCCTCCAGTAAGACACAAAATCTTCTAGCTTTGTTGCCCCCTAAGTAATTTTGAAAGGGGCAAGAATCAATTTACTTCCCCCATCTTTGTCCAGACCACAGAATCAATTGATTAGATTTTCCAGAGAGCTCTTACATATACCAAGAAAAAGGACAACATGTTATCAGAAGTCCATTCCACTTTCCTAAAGAAAAAGCTTCTTTCCCAATTTGTAAGTGGTAAGTGGGCATTAAGTAAGTTCATAAATAGTAAAATCTGGAAACATTCCTTGTCAGGCTAAGGTACTTCACATCTTTATCATTTTCACTAAAATGGAAGTAATTGAATTGTTACGTCCAATATCCTTTCAGAAGCGAGGGTCTTCAGAAGTGAAGTTTGGAACCGAAGCTCTTTTTATCTAGACCCTGCAGCCCAGACTCAACAAAACAAGGTAGCATTTCACTGAATGTAAACTATAAATTCAAAATATAACTGACTATATTTGGTGCTTCTGCAGAGAACATTTACAATTATGGTGGATTAAAATTAACATCTTTTCAGAAGAAGGAGAGCTGCACTGGAACTTAAGCTAGTTATAAAAGGAAAGTTTGTGTGTTTGTAATGTTAATAGTCACATTCCTTACCATGGATGTCACTACCAGAGCAGGAGAAAATCCCATCGCTAAATAGAAAAAGAGTTCAACGATCTTATACCTAAAAAGGAATGATTTGAGTCATTTAAGGAGGTGTACAAGAGGATGAACATTTCCTTCAACAGTAAAAAAGTACTTTAAATTTTATGTTAGCATGGGTCCATTAAACTATTCAAAAAGCTTTCTATGCAGATAGATAACCATTGTTTTATGGCAAAAATAAAGCTAGTCTTTATCTCTGCATTGTACAGTTGCAGGCAATACCTTCTTCTCTAAATACTGCCTAGATGCATTTGTATGTGAGAATAAAACATTGAGGCAATTTATATTTCCTTATTCGACAAGAACCTCAGTAGCTCATCTCCAAAACAAAGTAGTTGGGTCTTGCTCTCTGAGGATAAGTAATGAAAGCAGGCTCAAGAATTCAGATCTGAAACTCAAGGACTCACATCTCAAAACAAAAACAAGAAGGTAGCAGGAGTCAATATGCATCAGTATATATATAAACAATATAATGTTGCAGTATAATCTATACACAATGCTACATAAATAAGGGGCATAAGAAAGCCATCATTTCAACTGGTTTCTTACCCTACCCACTCTCACCCCTGCTTTCTTGTAGTGAAAGTTAAAGTTTTAAAAGTGGATACTTCCCTCCCACCCCTTTAAGAGAAGGCAACAATATGCCTAAAGACATATTATGACAGAGTGAATACAATTATCTTCTGACAAGATGTAAGTTTGCATCATTCTCATCACGTATTTCCACTGTTTCAAAGCTCAATGTGTGAAAGGCTGGATAGGAACACTCAGAAAGCAAGAAAGCCCCCACCTTGTAATTTCAGTTTAAAGTTAAATGCAAATAATAATTCTTACTTTTCATGGTAGAGAAATACATAAATGGTTCCTCCAGCAGCCATAAGCCAGATAAACCAACGCATGTGAGATGCTAGAGGTCCAAGCTCACGTAGATTTAGCCTGAAGGTACAAAGATTTCAAGAGACGAAAGTGATGAATGAATGGATCATACTGACATAAGAGTAGTAGGGCTTGATAAAAATAAGTAAATATTCAGAGCTATAACTTAGGCATGATGGGGGAGAAGACACTTGGACATTCTATACATAGAGAAACGGAAGGTGTGTTTGCACTGATGTGAGAGAAGCATAAACTGGGGTGTGTGGAATATAAATAAATTACTTTCTGCTGTTTTCTAATATTACTTTCTGTTCAGCAAATCCCAGGAGATTACGTTACGTTGCCTTTCACAATGCAGAATGTGGTCAATTCCATCTAAGAAGATACCTGTAGCTTTTGGAAAGCCACAATGATAAACTGTTTACAACGGAGAAAGCTTTAATTCTGAAGCTGTGCTTCAGGTTTCTTACCATGGTGCATATGATGCTGCAATAAAGACATAGATCATCATTCTGTCACACATGTGAAAGCAATGCTCCATTGTCCTAGTAAGGGAGAGAACAAGTCACCAAGACAGATTTTGGAAAGACTTTTGTGTCATCTCAGTTTCCTCACACACTTTGGAATTACTTTGGGGAAAATACCATCAGCTCCATAACCTCTTAAAAACATTTGGGAGACTGTTCAGCTGACTCCAACTTCAGGAGATCATAAGCGAGACACGTAGGAGATGAACACTCCTCCATTCCTCTTCCCGTCTCCACCCCGTCATGCATCCTGCTCTCTGGCAAGGAGGCAGAAAGCTGTCACATCAACTCTGTCTAATCCAGAAACTGTTACTATTTAGTGACTACTTGTTAAATCCAATTTATGGCCCAGAATTACACAGGAGTCATAATGGAGGCCGGGGGGGGAACTGAACTAAAAATAATAATTTAAAAAAAAAAAAAAATCATATCTTAGTTTTGCTATTGCTGCCTTGCTCCCAAGGAGGCTTTCTGCTAGTTAACTGTGTATTGTATTATAATTCTCTTGGCAAGCTCCACGTTCCTCAAAGTATTTGAGCGTGCCATAGTCCCAGACAGCGTTCTCATTTCTGCAATGGGATTATATCCACCATGCACTTCGATTAGGTTTTTTCCATTCAACTTCTGGATTAAGAGGCACTAGGGCCTAGAAAAACACATTTTCCTTGCGAAAAAGCAGCAGACATTGAAGTTTGTTTATCTATAAGCTTGGCTCACTATTTCTTCCAACAGAATCAAGGGTGTTTTTTCATGATTTAGTACAAGGTACCAGTCCAGACTTCTGTAAAATCATGTTTTTGACTGAGAAACACAATGGAAAAACATCACAGAACATGAAAACACCTTATACATTTTATAGTGATACCTTAAGTGACTCTTTTTCCAAGAAACAATATGAAATACTGTGGAGACGATGAAGAGCGCACAGAGCCCCATGCCATACATCCATGCTGTTATCTTTTCCCATCGATCATCAGAAAGCCGGTGGAGAAGGGCACTGCCCACAATCGCAGGAACAATGAGGAACTAAGAAAACAAAAGGCCACTGTTAAGTCTTAACTCCCAGCCAACGTTGTACCACCCACAGTACAGCAACAGCAAATACTGCAGTATGCCATATAAGACCATATTTTGGTCTTATATGGCATTTGATGGCATGCTCCTAACAGAAGCAATTTTTTCATTTAGGTGTATGTTGACACGCAAGCATCAAGACTTCGACAACGTCTCAGCATTTAGGTTATACCCATTTGTGATAAATTTCTCTTCATATGGTATTAGGCTAGGTTACTAGCTCCTATAGCCATGACACAAAATCAGACAAACAAAAGAATTTGCTAAGTCTTAGTAGTGTTTTTATTTTCACATTCTGCTTTGTTTTGATCTTACTCCAGGCTTAGATCTAAACCACCTCTTGTGCATAGAGGCAGAGCACAGGACAGACCAAAATAAACTTAAATCCCAAATGAAAAAATGAAGCATTTAGAAGTATGCAGTTAAGTAGAAGACAAGAGAATTAAGCAAAGGCTTTGCAGAACTTGGGTTTTAGATGTCATAAATAAATTAGCTGCAAACTTCTTTTATGAACAGATTCTTAATGCACAAAAGATGATGTTCTTTTAATGCAGTGTATCGAAGTCTGTTTTCTTTACCACCTCCCTCTCAAACAGCTTTAATTCAGATCTTCCAAACAACCACTGTTAGAACATCATGATAGAATTAGCATGCTCACATGAAGTATCTAAGAAGTGGGCTGCAGACTTCATATACATTTAAAACTACACTCCTTTCCAGAATAAATTACATCATGTACCTTTGTCTCATTCAGAAAAAAACAAACTAGGGGAAAAAAAAAAAGGAAAAAAAAAAGCATGTCCAACAAGTATTTAAAAAGAACCTGCTGGCTCAGACATTTCTACCCCTCTCCTTCCACTCTGAAGGCATATCTTTGTCAGCCTTCTAAGTTAAAAGGCAGCACAAGTTCCCTTCCAGCCACACAAGTTCCCTTCTGGTGTGTCTCAAGATGTTAATTCGTTCACTTGAATTGTAAATAAGCTTCATAGGTTAAATTCTTTGTAGTTTAACCCAAGTCTCACATGCTAAACAATAAAGCTAGGAACAAGTAATGTTTAAACAAATCTGGCAACTCTGCTTTGCATTACAGGTTTGATAGCTTAGAGTGCAAAGTGCTGGTCTAGCCTGCACTGTCTTTGTCCTTTATCTGCTTACAGACTGGAAGAAACCGAGGCTCTGATCACAGCTACAGTGCAGAAGATGCAGAGTATACCGAATGAATCTGAAAAGTAGTTGGTTAATCCAGAGAGTTTTTAAAAAAAAAAAGAAAAAAAAAGTGGCTTTTACTTCTGGCTTTTGAAGTACATCAACTGTAGCTTCATTACCATTATATTTTCTTCCTTTTTGCAAAATTTAGTACATTTACGCCAAAAGTTGTAGACCTGTGGAAATGAACAGTATGGCATTCCTATATCCACAGCATTTGGACCAGAGGTCAAAACACTTTCCGAGTTTTGTAATGAGACTATGGAAGTTGACCTCATGCACTTTAAGGCCAAAAATAGTCTGCCAGTCTGGCTTCTTATTTATCACAAACCATAAATTTCCATATACATATCCTGGACAGCCCCCAAATTCAAGAAAGGTTAAAGTGTTTCACTCCTCAGGAGATTAGTCTCTCCTGTTTTCCACATATGGCATACAGTTTAAAGTGTGGCTGAAGCCCTTGAGACAGCAAGGAACGGACTAGATGTGGCAGTTGTTTCATTTAGTTTTTGCAGGAGACAGGAAGATGCTAAGCTCCGGAAATAGTTTTTTAGCCACGTTTCTTTAAGCTGTGCAGTCATGCTGTATCCACGTTCACCAGTTTCCTTCCCAATTTCTGGTGCAAATTTCAGTTTTGACTATACTTGACAGAGAACTAAAAGGTTTCAGAGAGATTATGTGCCCGCAAGCATCACGAACACACGTAACCAGGTAAAATAGCAAATCCCTACTAATTCCCTACTAAAAGCCTGGGTGTGAGCTGCTCGGAGATTCTGCCTGGAGCTCTGACTGAGACCATTTTATAGGAAGGAAGACCTCTTTGGAAACTAGATTTAGATATTACACAGAACAACTTGCCTTTCTTACACAAATATCCCAGCTTTTTACTAGTCTACTAAAATAAATATTTCACAGGTTAAGCTATGATGTGTAATGCTCAAATGCGCCAACAGAGAGTTCGCTGCCAATCACTTTTCCCAGTAATTATTGTATATAAAGTTACAGGGTTAAAACAAATAAGCAATTCTCTTGTCACCTCTTTCTTTGCACCTTCAGAATGAAGAATACAGCTACAAATGAGTATGTGGACGAAGAGCGGAATTAATCTCTTTTCTGCCTTGTCCTGGCTCTGAAGAACGATTCTACTTCTCACAGGGAACAGCACTATACTAACATCAGAAGGATTTATTGTTTTTTCTAAGAATTCTATTTGGAAACACTTTCCCTCTGTGCCTGATACGCCTCATGGGAACAGTTAGACTAAACAAGAGATGTTTTATTACTCTCTTTCTGACCAAAAATGGCTAGATTAAAGACAAAATCCAGAAATGATACCCTGCTGTTCCAGCCAACTGGATAAAAGTTCTTGAGATACTAATGCCATACCAGATAATATATGATACAATGGACTTCATTATATCTAATATCCGTCTTAAAAAAGAAACATAACACCCTAGTCAACAAACAAGACAGATTTTCCCATGTTCATTTGGAAAAAAAAAAAAAGTCTAGTGCAAGAACTGCATTTTAATCTTCAGAATGGAGAAGCAATTAATCAGCCCTTTAAAAGAAGGAGTATTTACCAAAAAAGTAGTCAAAGAATCAGAACTAATAGAATGAGTGTGATTGTGCTGTGTCACTTCACAGCAATGACACAGCATTTCTAAGTTGCCAACATTCCTAGTAATAAAACTAGCTACAAGTCACAAAAAGCTTTGCTTATTTCAACTCTTCCAAATGAGTATCGTCAAACCCACCAACTTGATGTACTATGAACAAAACCAGAACTGTGATGCTCCAATTTGCTAATTTTAGCACCCTCATTAATACTTGCTAAATCAGAAATGGGGCTGGTAGAGAGATTTACAGAACAAGAGAGTAGGCAACAGTTTCACTAAGTTTTCTAGAGAAATGCTAGAACAAAATGAGAGCATGAAGTTAGAAACCCCTTGCAATAAAAAGGAAGACAAAGAATTAAAATGTATTTATTACACCTATAGGCAGGAATCTTTAAGAGCAGACTTGGGCACAACCCTTATGTGATGTATTTTGGGAAACCAACTACCACAACCCCTACTGTCACAAATAGCAGCCACTGCAAAAAGCCTTAAGGCACAAATAAAGATGCTGAAACAGTAAGCTGTAAACCTGATCAGGCATACTTCAGGGAAATGAAACTCTCTGGTTACTAACTTACAGCAAAGTATCTGGTATCTTCCATCTATTTGGGGTTGCTTAGGATACCGGTATGTTGGTCAGTATTTTTTCTGTATTCTTTCAGTATTTCTGTAGACGATCTCTCCCACAGAGAGGTTTAAAATCTGTTAAAACTTTGCTTTTGTATATATAACATTCATGCCAAATTAAGTCATTTTCTTTCCACACAAGGCTATGCACATCATGGAGTCGGCAACAATGACCTTTGATGCACAAGCCACTGTAGCAAAGCAGGTGTTATTGTTGCGATCTCATGTGCCTTTCCTTGAGAGGGAAACACTAACAGCATAAAGATGGTCCCTACACTTCCTCTTTGGAAAGGAAGGCAACGGAAAGATCAACAAAGCAGCCAAATTCACATGTGACACTTGGAACCATGAAGGATTGTGTCCATCTCAAGCTGCTTGCTCCAGGAGTGTAGCCCTGAAGCCAAGTACAGTGTCTCCCTACTCATCAATTTTCTCTTCTCAAATAAGGAGACAAGCATCGTGAAGCGGGAAGCCTACTGGCAACTTGGGTTGTGCAATACACAGAGAGCAGAGAAACTGCTAATATCAATCAGGTAGAGTGGAAACATTTTCATCATAAAAGCCCTTCTGAAATTTTGGTGACCCTTTCTTCCATGCTCAAATGGCCTGGTAAATGCTCCAAGCCTCATTTTTAAAATATTTATACTTCTTTCTTCTTTTTTCCATGCACTGCACAACCCAAGACTGGAATAGGGAGACTATAACTTACTTTAAGAATAGTTCCTCCTTTTAAGGCAGTTGGAAGAAACTTTTAGAGCAGTATAAAGCAAGCCGTGCCTAAATTCTGAGGTTTTAATACAGAGCATATCTTTTGTCTGATAAACTTTATGTACACTAGAAAGTTTCACGATGAAAGAGCCTTCCCCCCCTTAGATTTAGCTTACCTTACAACTCAAATTCTTACGACTCCTGCTTCTCTCATACACTGTTTCCTTCCTGTTCTTCTAAACACAGAGCAGTCTTTTCTGTCTCTGTATTCAACTGCTTAGCTGCCCTTCCTGTCTCCTAGTGTCTAAAGATGTCAGTGCTTCATTTAAAGCTAAAAAAATCAAGACACTTTAAATAGCCTTACTAGTTAGAAGTTTGAAGATACCTTACCATGCTACACAAAGTTAGCTTTTAAGTACTGTAACAAAAAGCTATGCATGGGATTCTGTATCCCCATTTATTAATTGTTTTGGGTTTTTTTTTAAGCAGCTGCCTAAAGTGATTACTGTGTATTTTAAAGTAAAAAAAACAGATGGGATATCTACTGAGTAGTACAGCCACGCTCATAAAATACAAGTTGACTACTTTCTCAATTACGAAAGCTTTGAATAAAATATATGGAGAACCATTGCTAAACTCTGTTTTGTAGAAATTACATCAATGACTAATTGAAAACTGAGACTGTAATCTAGTGGCCTTCTAACATTTAGTAAAACAGTCTGTACCAGAGGAGAAGCAAGCATCCCCCCAAGCTTCTTCTGTGTAATCCACTGTGCTTTGCCGGATTAGACTCCTATTTCAAGACTTTCAATTTTGATTACAAGTTATTTATTACATGCAATTTTATTTAAGGAGTAACAATTCCTCTTTTATACTACACTTTATTTTCTTCCAAAGGGCAAGTTAACATTGCATATCCCCAAGCTGTTAACAGTTCATAGCAGCTTTTAGGATGTAGCTTGACTGTTCAGAAAGTAATTAGGCAGCTTCACCAGAAACTGTAGCATACCAGAAAATACTGATATGACATCTTTGCTGTAACCTACTGCTAACAAGCAGGAATAAGACATGCCTGTTTTTCAACTAAACAAAGGCTAGAATTGCTAAGGAGTACAGCAACTTCTGCCAGATATTTTGAAATGTAACTTTTTGGCCAGAGTAAACAAAGATTGGTACAAGGATTATGAGATAAACTACATATTTATGCTAACTAACAGAATGTTGCTTCATTCACTAGATAAATAAGCATATATTTACATAATGCTGTACATGAGACCCTCGGCTTAAAAACACATTAGCTTCAGTTAGCTTTTCTATACGTAAACCAAGGTGATTCTGTTTTTACCAGCAACACAGAGCTGCATGCTGGTTATTTATAAAACACGCACAAAGGATCTTGAAGAACAGAGCTCTTTCAAGAACTGAAGAGCCCCATGCGCTACCTTGAGCATTCACAATGTAGCCCACTCAGACACACTGGAGATAAGAGACTGAGGACGAAGTCAAACATACTTCAGATGTTTGGAGTTATACAAGGGATTGAGGAGAAGCACATGCTGCTTTTATAAAAGGGCAAATGCTATCTTAAAAACCAAACACACACATTTTTAAGTCCTTTTCAAAGTGCCAGACAGCAAATTAAACTTCCCAATTACTTAAAAAAAAAAAAAAAAAAAAGGGACTGCTTTCATTATTTTGTGTATATTGTATATTCAAATCTATATGGGTCCATACATTATGAAAATAAGGGCAGTCTAGGATTTTTAGGAGGGTTGTCAGCATTATTAGCGCCTCTTTCAAAATAGGAGATTTCTCAAAGAATCAATTCATAGATATTAAGTATCAGAACTAAGCCATTCTAGCTCTTCTAGCTAATACCCCCAGTCTTATGAAGCCTTCCACTTCTAACATGAATAAATCTTTTGTATACTTGCAGTATACAATTCGCACAATACCATGTGAGCACGGTACTGGGAAATCTGCCTTGCAAGGCTAACTACTATAGACCTATATTCACTTTGCCATAGACATCCTTTGACTGTGACAGAGGAAAAACATCTGAAGACATGTAATGTAACGTAACTTTAGTGAAAAGGAATCTTATGAAGCATCTGGAGCTCCTAGAGATTCAGAACAGGGACTAGTGATTACCAGCCATCTAATTAACATTACATTTTCTGGACTGTTATAGCTGAATCTTATATAACAAAACCAGAGAGGTGGTAAATATGAATATACTCGGGCAAAGGTAAGCATTTAGCTGTCCAAACCCACAAAAATTTACAGAAAAATCTGGTTAAAAAAAAAAAAAAAGGAAATGTACTTACTGCATGTGTGTAACAGTTAGCAGCATGTTCATAGCAAGTGGGTTTGTAGCGGCTGTTTGCTGGAGCTGGGTGGTTCATGAACCTGTTGAATAATTAAGAGGAAATTAACTTTAGGAAAGCTAATAAACAATCTCTTTGGAGTGTCATGAAGGAATACCTCCAACCTAGTAGTGTTAAAAGTTACAGGTACAGACATGTTAAAAGTAGCTGTTATTTAAATTGTAAGTTCTCCCAGTTAAGTTCTCTTAACAGAAACATATGTTAAATAAATTTCTGTGACTGCCTGGCACAGTGGATATTTATCTTTAATCAAGATTTTACATACAGAAGTGAGACCCCCTCTTTTGTGACAGCTTGATCTGATAAAGAATGAACTATTTCCTATTTAAATTACATAATATGGACTCAAATTGCTCTTGAAATATGGACTTCATCATAGCTGCCAAGGGTTACTCTTCTTTTAAGAAGTTCTTGAAACTACAGCAATATTCCAGTTCTGTAACACCTCAGAATAAACCAACCTGAACATTGACTTTTCAATTCCTATAGCAAGCAATATTTGTGTTTGGAGCTTTAGATGGCTCGATTTTTCTTTGAGGCTAATCCTATCTTCTGTCTGTAACTAAGATCCAAGCTACACAGAGATGAAAGGAGAATTTAACGGTTAACTCCGAAGAGGAAAAATTTCAAGAGGCTTACCACAGACATTCCACCTTTTTCTCTAAGAATTTTCAAACATTACCTAACAAACAAACAATCACACCAAACACAGTCTGTGCAAGCCAAACAAAATATGATGAAACTTGAAAAAGTTTTGGAAGAACTTGCCAATACAAACGTTGCATTTAACTATTCCAAAAAACCCAAACACTTGAGTTGTTACTGTGAAACAACACAATTTAAACCTATGTGTAAAAACGTCTAAAAGACAGCACACATTTATATGCAACCAGACAGTCAAATCAAAGTTATGAACTACTCCAGCTACAGTACCATGTATGTTATCCCAGCACAGCCCACTATCATACAAAAGTGATTCTCTTTCACTAATAAATTCCAGTTTAAATTCCATAGTTTATTATAAAACTATGCATTGACAATTAGTCAGGTATCCAACAAGCCAGGAACACGACTCTATGTTCAGAACTGAGAGCAGCTTTGTTAGCTAGATTTATATAAAGAGCTTGTTAGACAAACTTTGATCCTCCCCCACGTCCCTCCTGGTTTAAGGCAAAACCAGTCCTATTTTTATGACACCCATAAAATACTGGCCAATCTCAAACCAAGGAAAAACAAACAACCAAAAAAACCCAACAAGAATCTTATAGTTTGAGTAAGCAGTTCAAGATTTATGGGGTGTAAGACACTTGGTTTTCTTGACTGATTTATTAAGTGATTTGTAAACCATTTTTTTTCTAAACTGATATACGAAAATTTAACAGCATTGTTAAAATAACACAGCGTCATGATCTCTTTTCAAATCGTGGCAATTTCAAAAAACAGTTTCAACTGTTACTAACACAAAGGATAAGAAAAATGTGAATTTCATTCACAGATGCTGACTATTAATGGTTGTTAGCAAATAATTCCACAGGAGTTAACATATTGTTAAAAAATGGCAATTCTTTTGTCAGTGACAAATGACACCTTGCTCTCATCTCCGAGAGGCTAGTGACACTGTAGTCATACACACAGGCTCACAGAACATTTGGAAAACCATTTTGTTCGTCAGTGCATACAGGTCTTCAACAGCTGCTGCAGCCGTCTCAGCATCCTCTACAGATGGAACATTCACTTTACTCAGTTCTGCTTCCAAGTTAGGAAAACATTTAAAAATAAAAGCATCTGTTGGCTCAGTTGAGTGACCAGGATTAGACTGCCCTTGCCCAACTCCATAAATTCAAAATCATGGGAAACCTTTCACTGATTACATCTAGAATATTATTACATTTCTCCAAAGGCCATGGTGGTACCTTGGAAGTCTCACAAGAAGTAGGAAAAAAAAGAACAAAAAACCACAACAACTAAAGAACGCAAAGGAATAAGCTTATCCTCAGTATTAGCTTTATAATTTCTGTTGTTCCAAATTTCTACGTAAGATATTATAATAATCTAAAAATCTATAAATAATTGAAGGTCTCCTGGCTAATAGGACCTTCTATTATCCATCAGAGGATAACTTTTAATTTTTTTCCCGTTTCATTTATATGTATTTAGAAGAAAAGATACTGGATCTTTCTAAAGCAGTCACAACAGAGTCTGGGGTGATACCAGATTTCAGACAGAATTATGAACAAACACTTCAGAAAAGTCCATTTATTATTAGGACCTGTTATTCTCACCAATTTAAAGACAGTGTTATTAGCAGTAAAACAGAACATAAAGACATTAACAAAGCTACCCTTTCTCTGTTACCCTCTACAAAGGGTTGAGTTTTTCTCCCCTTGTTTGTGCCAGCACAGGAATGATGCAAATATTCGTTCATCTGTGGTAACTTTAGGCTGGCAAAACAGACAAGCATCAGGTTTCAGAAAACTTCACACTTACAAAACATTTCAAACGTTGGTGTTTTTTTTTAAATAAATACTTCAATACTGATTATTTAATTTTAAACAACAACAAAAATGTTTAGTAACACAGCTGTCGAACAGAAAGCTTTACTGGACTCCCACAACAGCTGGAACTTGCTTTTCTTCCACCAGAGTTCTAGCAGAACACCACCATTAGCAATACTTCACCCATCCCCTTCACCTACATGTTTATACTAATAACACCACCACCACCAGTGTGTTTTGGCAGGAGAGGAAGAGTTAGACTTTACCTCTACCTTAAAGAAAAGGATCTTGAAACACCCCAGTATCTAACTTCGCTGTACATTTGACACGCCTGCACCTCTCCTTTCTGCAAGGTATTGACTGCAACAGGCTGCAAGACCCAGGCAGCAAATGCTGGAGCGTATTTGCTCAGGTCACTACTCACAGACAACATTTTCAGTAAAGCAAAGCTTCAGTTATTTTCCTATGCCTCTTTATAATACCATTTATAAACGTTATCAGGAACAACTTTAGAGGAAGGATCATTTTAAAAGTGGTTGAATAGGGCAATAATTCCAGCCAATGCTTTTCTTGAATTTGTTTCATTTCTAGTTTGACAGTTCGTGTTTAATGCCTTAAGAAACAGACCTGAAGTTTGAAAGTAGCTGCTTTGGAATACTACACTGAAATACTCATCAAAACCAGGAAAAATTATTTTGACACATGCTGTTAAAAAAGTCATATACTCCTATAGTTATACATACGTATGACATTGCAATATAAAGGCAGAAGAATTTGGTTGTAGACTTATTCACAGTCTAGAGGCAAAAACTGTTCTGTTCTTTCTTAAAGATAAATAAATAAATAAAGCCCACACCACCACCAACAACGGATGCTTTTTGTTTTCTGCCACATGAATACTGCAACACAGGGATGTTGTTTTTCCTCCTATCTACAGGTCAAGTTTGCCCCTTCTGAAAAAGATAATTGTGAGGGATATAATCTCACTTTCCTAAAAGTGGAAACTTGATATATAGCATTCAGATGCTGTTTACTCCTAAATAAAGGCTCTCTATAACACAACCATTAAAGTTGTTATCAAATGCAGGACAGTCTGATAAGGTCCCACTGAACTGGACTACAATTTACAGGAAACGCCTTTAGGAGAAGCCTTTTGATTCTCTAACAAATCTCTAGTGTATTCTTTAATAGGAACTCTAGTGAAACCAGTCATTTAATCAGGGGATATGCAGCATTATCTCACAAGAACGCATAAATACTCCCCCATTTAAGATACTGACAATGCAAGATCTCTAATATAAAATATTGACTCCTTCAATATCAGAATTTGAAATTTCTGAAATTAGCAGACTAATAACTACTTGCAGCCAGCCATGAGAGCAGAATGCTTTTGCACTGAACTGAGTTATGAGTTCATTTTCACAATTTAAACGCATTCTTAAAGCTCAAGGAAGGCCAAGCTTGAGGCCAAGGAAGTCCAAGCTTTACAGTTTCACAAGCACACAACCAACCTTCTTTGATGAGCACATTCCCAATTATAAGTGGAAAAAGGGTATTGAGAAAGACATATGACAATTTAAAACAAGAGAGAAGAAACTCATACCCATCCCTTTACACTACTTGACCTTTAATTTTGAAACACTTCAAATATTTAAAATGTTAAACATATGGGCTAATCCATTCTTTGTGAGAGACCTGTGGTCTCTAGTTTCTGTTCATGTCTAAGGAGTGGACATCATCGTGATTCCAGAATTAAGAGATCATAGTATTTGGGAGAGAAAGGAGGAGGAAAACCCGAGGGTTATTAGTGCTCTGTCTTTGCACGCAAACCCAACTTAGAAAAATAAATTATAAAATCCCAAATCTATTGCACATATTTGTATGGCACTTCTCTCGTATCACAGCAAGCCTATACCCAAAACTGCAGAAGAGAAAAGCACCTTTCAAATCTTGCCTTATTCTCGATTCCCATCTGCTGAATGAATTATTCTTTGAAGCATGAAGTAAAATGTCAGTAAAAACAGCAAGCACTAATAGCCTCAAAGATCTGGATTTTTTTAGTCTTTTCAGGAAGTACATTTCCTTTATTCAGCTCAAAAGGCCTCATACTTCCTTTTACCAGCTTAAAAGCACATTACCCCTTTTTCTATCTTTTTTTCTTATGCTTTCCAGCAGCAGGAAAGGCCGTTTAGACCTAATAAGCCACAAATAACAGCATATGAGAAACTGCAACAAGGTGGGGATAACTCCACAAAAACAGCAGTAGCATATATTAAATGGAGTTACATGTTTAGATACTGAAGCAATTTTAATGTTATCTAGGCTCTTTGTTTTCAAAAGGAAAAACAAAAAAACCCAAAAAAAATCACAAGCAGGTCAAAATAGATCAGCACTACATTTTCATGATGACCACATAGGTTAAGATTTCGAAGAGAAATGAATAGGTTTATAAAAAGCTTGCTTTCTTTGACCAAATTGGTCTAATTTAGTCCATTCAGTTCAAAATAGAGCCATATTCCTCTGGACT